AAAAAAATCATCTACTAGCCCACAAGGTAACAAGTTTCTATAATTTAGGTGTCTTTTTGTTTACTTATATGATTTGAAAAGTATATTATGTTAATCATTTTAGTCTTAAAAAACTATTAAATCAATCATCTTACCTCACAGTTCATGTTATTTTTCAGCCCTTGAATATACTTGTCCAATTCAAGCCTGAAAGTATATTCTTAAGGAAGCAACAAAAGATGAATAATCGAGAGTGTTTTATCTCTCAACAGGAAAAATAAAATCTCTCAAATAATACAAACTATAAATTAAAACAAGCCAATGCAAAATGGCCACATCAAGATATGAAATTCAAGTAAATGCATAGAGGGGTAGAAGAGCTTTTTGGAGGTTGGTAGTGATACTCCTCCACTTGCCTTCCCATGCTTGCCTTCCTTGATATCCTCAAAGACCAAAGAAAGGATATAGTTCAAGTCCTTTTTCAGACCCTCCTAAAAAACAGACCACATACTCTGAAGGGTTATATTCTGAGTCAATTGTTGCTGTTTCTGGAAGCAATTTTTCTTGTTGGAAAAGGCAGTAATAACAACCAACTTGGTAACCTGGAATTCTAGAAAAGAAAGGGAAAAAAAAGGTAAAATGATTATTTTGGTAACTCATGCATCTAATTCTGTGTACTGCTCTGAACCCTGGTCATCTTGATCTGACAATACTGTTAAACTGCCCAGAGCTTCCCAAACTTCTTGTTTTACTCACAGCAGCAGAGGAAAATGAATGTATATCCTGGTGTGCTTTAGGTAAAGCAGCTGCTAACGTACATGAAATTTCTTTGAATTCTCCTGTCTTATGTGAAAAATTCATGCAAATTTCACTCTTGTTCATGGTAGAGCCATGTTAACATTAATAAAAGCATGTTCTTCCCTCTCCCAAACCTTCACAATCATTGATGCTTCAGGCAGATGTGCCAGGTTTATCCTGCGGCCTTATCCTTGGGTTGTGGCCTCACACTCCCCCTGAGGTGACCTGTATGCAGATTTCATGGTCTGAGCTGAACTACTATTAAGAGGTTTAACGGAAAGATGGCTCGAATTGGACTGAAGACACCCATGCTTAAGTCTGAACTCCATCAATTCGACTAGCCTTATTAGCTTGGGCATCCCACCTAACTTCTCTCAGTTTATTTCCTCATCAGAAAATGGAAATAAGAGTGTGTGTTCTATCTTCCCTTTGCAAGGAAAACTGCATCAATGTTTATGAAAACATAAGTTTACAATTTTAGTTTTAGTAATTAATTCTTTTCTTCTAAGTACAAAACTAAATAAAGTACACTTAGGCACCAGAGTCTCTAACATTCAATTAATTCCATTACACAAATGTTCATGTGTGTGGCCCAGTGCTCAGGCTGCCAGAGAATAAAGATGAACTATGCAGGCCTAGCAGAAGCTGATCTTTTGGAGTTTCTCAGCACTTCTCCTATTTAGCTCAGAAATAAAAACTCAGGACACAGCGTATTTTACACTTACCTTAGCTCCACAGATGCAACATTACCCAGCCCTTCAAAGACTGCTCCCTTTGAAAGACGCTTAGCAATGAAACTGCGCAGCTCTGGCTCCAGTTCAGATGGCAGATTAGTATCAGCCAAGGAGAGGCTTGACAAACAAAAGACACACATTCCTTACTAGTGGACTAGTACATTCACACTTCTAAGTCAGAAAGAATGGTATCAAAGCCAGAGTTTCCTAAGGACTTGAGAAAGCTTTCCATATGACCCTGACTGGTGAGGCTTCTAGGAATGTATGTCACCAAGTATGATCTACCTCATCAAACAGTTTAAAATATTCCTATCTTTCCAGCTCATTCTCTCCAGTGCTGTGACTCTACTGGGACCACCGATCCACTGACCCTGCCTCTTTTCTCACAGTCCCTCAAGTTTCTCATTTCACTCCCCTCCTTGCCTTAAGTTCCACGGTCAGTCCTTATAATCACACTCCTGCACACATTCTCTTTTTTCTTTCTTTCAACTTTATTGAGGTATAACCCACAATTCAAAAGCTTAAGCCCTGGTTCAGTCCAGCTCTCTACCCACTCTATACCTGCACCTGTACAGCTGAATGTGGTTGGATAAAAACTCATATCCACAGTGTCTAGTCTCATTTTAAATGAATGATCACTAGCTGCAAGTGGGCCCTAACTGCTGCCCAGTGATCACTGCATTTCCTGCTTCGCTCACTCTTCTACTCTCCTACATTACTATTTTGGGCCTCTTCCTCTTTCCTCAATCCTCCAACCACCTACTATTCATGAATAAACACACCAGTTCAGTATTCCTTTATGAACTAAAAATAAAAATTTGGCCAGGCGCAGTGGCTCACACCTGTAATCCCTAGCACTCTGGGAGGCCAAGGCGGGTGGATCGTTTGAGCTCAGGAGTTCTAGACCAGCCTGAGGAAGACCCCATCTCTACTAAAAGTGGAAAGAAATTAGCTGGACAATTAAAATATATATAGAGAAAAAATTAGCCGGGCATGGTGGCGCATGCCCGTAGTACCAGCTACTCGGGAGGTTGAGGCAGAAGGATTACTTGAGCCAGCA